TGGACATTGGCTGTCCTTTGGGTAGAAAGAGACCACAGATTCATTTCTGAAACACAGTGACTACAAATGTAGGTGGTGAAAACAATCACGGCCCACTGCACTCTAGGAGTCCTCGGAACCAGCTCACTTCTTCAAGCAAGGAGTGGGTGTCTCAGCCTAGGCCTTCAGGGCAGACATGCGTCTTCTATAGGTCTTGGAGGCTGCGGTGCTGCCCATATCCATGAGGTTGTCGAGGGAGGGAAACATGCTTCTTCTCCTGCATATGTTGGGGCATCTGGAAGGTCTGAGGCTACATACCCAGGAACATCTTTCTTTCGAAGCTCTTCTATCCCTGTCACCATGGAAGTTTTCTGCAACAAAATATTGAACCTCTTTTCCTGTTTGAAGTAAAGGTCTTTGCAACTTTTATGGTCCTTACTTGATAAATACAATCATGATAACAACAAGACTTCATTTATTTGCCTACTTTAAGCCATGTATATCCTTTATTTTATTTCCATTTGCCATTGCTGATGTCCTGATAGACAGAAGTATGCCTTCACCACTGCTGCCAGTTCACCTTGATTCCCTCAGGAAATCTGATTTTTAGACTCTGAGTGTTTTCATTGTTGTCCAACTCAATTGATTTGAAATAATTTTCCTGAGGCCTTTAATTCAAGAAGTGTTTTATTTATAATATTGAATTTATTCCTTTTTATTTTATTTTTCATAATATATAGTGTTATATAGTATATAGATCTGGGATTCTACAAGTTTGTAAGTCGTACTGAAAACATCACCTTGGCTGAGATTCCACTGCACACCAAGTACGTGTTCTCTGGAGGGCAAAAAAATAATGATAAAAATTTCTAAAATACCTAAATAAACAGACTACTGAACAAAAATGTTAGGAGATGCACCAAACTGTGCCGTTAGACCTGAAGATAATCTACCAGTAGAATTATCGAAAAGAGACTATAAATAAGTCTCTAGTAAGTATTTGTGGGCATAGAGCAGTGTCTGAGTCTTCTCAGGCTAGATAAGGAAGGAAGTCAGTTATTATCACGACTTTGCCTTGGATGAAAATGCATGAACTCCTCAATTTATTTTCTTGTAAAATATTACAGAATAATACTGAGCAAACATTTCATTTTTCTCCAACTGTATCCCTCTTTAGCACTTACAGGTAAAGCGGACACCTAGAGGCACGATTTCTGTAGTTGGGATCCCTTGACTTCAGGACTAAGGTCCATAGCTGGGCTTTACAGGGACTGCAAACCCCACGTGCAGGGAACCCCGTGTGTCTGTGCTGTGCCCAACTCCCCTCTGTGAGGCTGCCAAAGGGGGAGTGCCGGGTCTCCCAGAACCCAACTCACAAAGAGGGTAGCAGTCTGCTTGCTGGGCAAAAAAATAAATTCACCTATTGGCCAATATGTGGAAAGTCAAAAACAAAGGAAATGCTCGATGGTGAGACTGGCAGATGCCCAATTTCCCAAGTTATGAAATGTATAACAGCTCATGGTTCTCAGAATTTCAACAGCTCATTAAGATATTTTTAGAAAGTTTTTGTTTGTCTACAGCTGTTGATCCTCATTTGTTTTCCAGCCCACTGGTCACTTGAGGTTATTTTGTTGCCAAATTTCAATGTTGCCTATTTCAGTCACTGAGCACTTCTCACATTCTCCATATCTTACACAGATAGGTGTGTTCCTGTCTTTTCCTATTTTTGTGTGATTCATTTTTAAATTGGGCTGTGCAGAATACAAGCATACATTTGTATATGACTCCCACCTTTCATGCAATTTAGCTGTTTAATTTTTAGTAATATTTTTTATTAAGGTATAATTAATAGAGAGCAAAACACAAATATTAATACAAGGACATCCTGGTGCATTTTGACAAATGCGTATGCCAGTGCAATAATAACTGAAATTATTATAAAAAAATTTCCTGGCCAGGCGTGGTGGCTCATGCCTGTAATCCCAGCACTTTGGGAGGCTGAGGCTGACGGATCATGAGGTCAGGAGATCGAGACCATCCTGGCTAACACGGTGAAGCCTGTCTCTACTAAAAATACAAAAGTTAGCCAGGCACAGTGGTGGGTGCCTGTAATCCCAGCTACTCAGGAGGCTGAGACAGGAGAGTCACTTGAGCCTGGGAGGTAGAGGGTGCAGTCAACCAAGATTGCACCACTGCACTTCAGCCTGGGCGACAGAGCGAGACTCCATCTCAAAAAAAACAAACAAAAAACAAAACAAAACAAAACAAACAAAAAAAAACTTTTGGCCGGGCGCGGTGGCTCAAGCCTGTAATCCCAGCACTTTGGGAGGCCGAGACGGGTGGATCATTAGGTCAGGAGATCGAGACCATCCTGGCTAACACGGTGAAACCTCGTCTCTACTAAAAAAATACAAAAAACTAGCCGGGCAATGTGGCGGACGCCTGTAGTCCCAGCTACACGGGAGGCTGAGGCAGGAGAATGGCGTGAACCCGGGAGGCGGAGCTTGCAGTGAGCTGAGATCCTGCCACTGTACTCCAGCCTGGGCAACAGAGCGAGACTCCGTCTCAAAAAATAAAAAAATAAAAACAAAAAAATAAAAAAATTTCCATCACTCAAGAAAGCATCGTCATGCTCATTTCCAATTACTTTCTATCCCAGAGATAAAAACTTTTCTATTTTTATCACCATTGACTAGCTTTGTCTATTCTTGAGCTTCATATAATGGAATCGTATTTTTATTGAGTTATTTTTCTTCAAAATTAGTATTTCTGAAGTGTATTCATATTGTAGTATCAGTAGGTCATTCTTTCTTATGACGAATGTTCCATTGTATAAATACACCACAGCTTATTGATCCACGCTCCTGCTGATGGAGATCCACGTTACTCCTGTCTTCAACTATTAGGAATAAAGTTGTTGTGAACATTCTTGTGGAATTCTTTCTTGTGGACATATGCATTCTTCTTTTTTTTCTTTTTTCAGATATAGACTTTAGAGTGGAAATACAGACTCACGGTGTAGATGTGTGTGCTATGCTTGCATGTCCCCACAAAGGCTCACGTTGAAATTTGCCAATGTAATGGTATTGGGAGGTGGGACAGCTACAATTAGTCATGAGGGATCTACCCGCAGAAAGAGATCAATGCCCTTATTGTGGGAGTGAATTAGTTGTCTTGGGGATGGTCTTCTGATAAAAAGGATGAATTCAGCCATTTTCTCTGTTTCGGATGTTTGCTTCCCCTTCCTCCTGCCTTGGATAACAGCAGGAGGCCCTCATCAGTTATGGACCCTTGATCTTGGACTTCCCAGTCTCCATATCTATAGGCCAAATAAGCCTCTTGTTTTTATAAATTACCCAGTCTGTGGTATTTCTTTATAGCAATAGGAAAGAAATTGGAAGAAAATATGGTACCAAGAGTGAAGCTGTTGCTATGATATCTGAAAATGTGGAAGCAGCTGTAGTTAATCGGAAGTGGCTAATGGATAGAGGTTGAAAGAATTGGGTGGAGCAGACTAGTAAAAGCCTAGATTGCTGAAAACAGAGAATTAAGGGCAGTTCTGGTGAGGGCTCATGGAGAAATGAGAAAGAAGGTATCAGAAATTGAAGTAAATGCCATTCTTATTGTGAGTACCAAAATCCTTGGCAAAATTGTGTCCTGTTCTAGGACTTCATGGAACATGAAAATTATGAGTCATTCACTAGGATATCTGCTGAAAGAAATATCTAAGGGGCTAAGCATTCAGACTACTGTGTGAATACTTTCAGTCACCAGGAAATTTAACCCAGAAAGAAGGGAGCCAAGGGAATAGATTTTGCAAGCCAGCACAGATGGTGACCCTACCTCCCTCTGCTGTCCTGTCTCCTATAAGCCAAACTCTGTACTGTGAGCTGTTAAAGCGCTCGAATTTTTTTCTGGGGAATCTGTACTATTAATAATTTACAGACAACCCAGGTCTGCTTTGGATCTGATCAGACTGACTAAGTCTTGGGAACTCTGCACCACCAGTCACTGAGGAAAGGGGCTGGGAATGTTGCCTGTGACAAGAAAATATAGTTAGAAACATTGGAGTGAATCTAGCATCAGAAAGATGATGTGAGGACCGCAAGGAACAGCTGGAACCTGAGGTTTAATCACAGGCTCCAAACCCTCCGCGGATGAGCAGGTGTGTGAGCTCCAGCATGGAGCACTGCAGCACTAGGTCAGAGGAGGGTGATAGGGCGATGGGGCAGCCTGTGAACTGGGGCAGTGTAGGCAGAGGAGCAACTGTATCATCGCAGAAGCTTCTGCCTTCACCCATCCCTCCAGCTCTGCAGGACAGGTAGAGTCCAGGGTCCGTGGAGCACTAGACCTAAGGCAGGCTGCATGGGGAGGACACTGGACAGTGACATCACAGGATACCCCTCCCATCAGGAAAATCAAGGCCCAGAACTCACTCAACTCTATCCCAGGAGGACCAAGCCCTGCGTCAGGTGCAGTGCTGCCTGCCCCACTGTGCCATGGGCCCCGGGATCCTCTGCTGAGCGCTGCTTTGTCTCCTGGGAGCAGGTGAGTCCTGTGCACTGGACAGCAGCCCCATTCTCAGCTTTCCCACCCCTG